GGTCGGTGGGGAGGGGGGAGGCAGGTGGGCGGTGGTCCCCCAGGAGGGGGGGGCGGGAGCCCCGGGCATGGGCTGCGGGCGGCGGGGCTGGGGCCGCAAGCGGGGTGGGTCGGGAGGGCTGAGATCCCGGGCAGGCTGGGGTCAGCCAGCGGGGCAGGAGGCCGTCGGTGGGCTGGACTCAGTGGGGCGGGGGTCAGCGGGCCCCAGCGTGGGCTGGCCGTGGTCAGTGGGACGGAGGTCCCTGGGCTCGCAGGGACTGGTGAGCACCGGGTGGGCTGCCCGGTGCTGTGGCATAGGGGCCCTGATTTGGGTTGAGGAGATTGGGGTCCCTGGGCGGGGCAGGCTGGGGCGGAGGGGTTGGGCGCTCCAGGCGGGGGGACCTGGGGTGTATGTGAGGGCCCAGCCGCGGCACGTGGAGCTGGTCCTGACTCACAGCGTGGCCCGGAGGCGGTTCGTGTTTGGGCCCCTTGGCGGGGAGCTGGCCTCTGGCTGCTAGCCCCAAGGAGCTCTATTGTGCCCTACCGTGCCCACTGCAGCTCCTGACCCATGCTGCGGTCTGTTTCTGTGTCACTCTTCGTTGGCTACCACGCAGTGCCCACGTGTGTGCTTTCACTTACCCCGGACTTACCAGCTCCAGGGGTTGCCCTCCTGCCTGATCTCCTTGCCTTGTCCCCTATCCCAGCCCATCATCCTGGGGCCAGGGCGGTGTGGTGCTGCCAGGCAAGAGTTAAAGGCAGACACAAAGCATCCACCATTCAGCAGGGTGGTGGGGGAGAGGGCCTCAGACCGGGGAGACCTTGCACGGTGCTTGACCACACGAGGATGGTGGGCCTGGTGGGCTGGGTTTGGGTCCCTGGTGCCAGCCCATGCCACCTCCTGCATCTCAGCAGGTTCTGCTGAGTGCCAGGCTATCAGCGAGAGCATGTCACTTACATGGGTGCTTTTGCTGGAAAGGCTTTTCTGTTTGGGCAAGGTTGCTTGGGAGGCAGCTGACCTAAGCCAAAAAGATCTTCTTGTTCTGAACAATAGTGGCGTGAGTGCAGCAGGAACCATCGTCAGGAATCATCGGCTGCAGGGGTGTTCCCTGGTCAGAGGCAATGGGTCAGGGCAGGCAAGGCGGGGGGGAGCTGGTGGCTCTGTGGGGACATGTCCCCTCTGCTCACCCTGGGCAGCCCTGCCACCTGCTGCCCTTGCACTAGCTCGTGTGCAGGCTGTTTAAACCTGGCGTGGCAGTGGGGTGTCTCCTCTTGTGTCTTCTCCTTTCTCTGGGAACTGTGATGCGGTCCTCGTAATTTCCTCTCCAGCCCCTGGTGTCAGCTCCTTTGCTGGGGTTTTGTGCAATTCCTCAGTTGCCCTACACTGCCCTTGCCATTTGCTCTCCTGTCTGCTGCTCTGCACCACCAGCCCTTGCCATCAGGCTGCAGGGTGCTCCACCACGTGCTTTGGGGGCTTGTAAGGATTTGGGCTGGGGGTCTGGCATGAGGGAGGGCACAGCACAGAGGTTTGGTGGGGCAGAGTGATGCCAGTCCTTGAGGGAGAGCTCCGCAGGTTGAAGACCTGGCATGTGGTAGGGGATGCTGCTCAGAGGGCCTGCCACTTGCTGCTTTCCTCCGGGGACCGGGAGAACCCCCAAGGGAGCATGTGGGTGCTGGCACAGGGTGTGGTACTGGCTGGGGACCTGCCCAGGACCAGGTGGCAAACAGGTGCTGCAGACCAGGGGTGGAGGAGGTGGTTCCGTCCCCTGCCTGTCCCCTCGCAATGCCCAGCTGGCGCTGCCCCGTGCTGCGTGTTTACCCTGGCTGTGGCTGTGCTGACTCTTTCCACAGGTGTGCCCTGCAGGGACAGAGAGTGTCCCAGCCTTTCCTCTGCTCCCCAGATCTCCACCTGCCCGCCTGGCGTCAGGGCAGGAGCAGGATGTAGATGGGAGCACAGGGAGGCAATGCTGAGCAGGAGATATGATTCTGGGGAGATAGAGCCTTGGGTGACATAGTATAGGGTGAGGTGTCCCTGCCCATATCAGGGGGTTGGGACTAAATGATCTTAAAGTCCCTTCCAACCCAAACCATTCTGTGATTCTATGGCTGCTAATGCAAATCTGTCTGAGGATGTGCAGGTGAGGGAAGGGACACCAGTGGTGGGAGAGGGACAGAACTGGGATGGTGGCTGGTGTTTTGAGGGAACCTGATGCAATGCACACGTATTTGCTCAGCGCCTGTTTGCCTGCCTTACCTGCAGGGCTTGAGACAACTGCCTGGCCAGGATGAGCTGGAGTTTCCTGACACGGCTCTTGGAGGAGATCAACAACCACTCGACCTTTGTGGGCAAGATCTGGCTGACCGTCCTCATTGTCTTCCGCATTGTGCTGACGGCCGTGGGGGGCGAGTCCATCTACTATGATGAGCAGAGCAAGTTTGTCTGCAACACGCAGCAGCCAGGCTGCGAGAATGTCTGCTACGATGCCTTTGCCCCGCTCTCCCACGTCCGCTTCTGGATCTTCCAGATCATCATGGTGGCCACGCCATCGGTGCTCTACCTGGGCTTCGCTATGCACCGCATCGCCCGCATGCCTGAATCCTCACAGCGCCGGGCACTGGCAGCCCGGCGGGCACGCATGCCGGTGGTGCGCCGGGGAGCTGGGCGGGACTATGAGGAGGCAGAGGATGATAACGAAGAAGACCCTATGATCTTTGAGGAGATTGAGGTGGAGAAGGAGAAGAGCCCAGAAGGTGGAGAGAAGCATGATGGCCGGCGCCGCATCAAGCAGGACGGGCTGATGCGTGCTTATGTCCTGCACTTGCTGTGCCGCTCTCTGCTGGAGATGGCTTTCCTCTTTGGCCAGTATCTGCTGTACCGCTTCGAGGTCAGCCCCTCCTACATCTGCAGCCGCAGCCCCTGCCCGCACACCGTTGACTGCTTTGTCTCCCGCCCCACGGAGAAGACCATCTTCCTCCTCATCATGTACGCCGTCAGCGGGCTCTGCCTCTTCCTCAACCTCTGTGAGCTCGTGCACCTGGGCGTGGGGCGCATCCGTGATGCCCTGAGCCAGCCTAATGGCCCCCCGCTCCCGGCTGGCAACAGCCCTGCTCCACAGTACTCCAAGAAAGCCCCCGGCGCACCCCCCACCTATCACTCACTGAAGAAGGAGCCGCCACGAGCACCACTGCCCGACGGCAAGCTGGACTACCGGGAGAGCCTGGGGGCCGGGCGCTTCGCCCTGGCTGGGGCTCCCCCGGCACACGAGCTGGACCGGCTGCGTGAGCACCTGCGCCTGGCACAGGAGCACTTGGAGGTCGCCTTCCACCTCCAGCCGCCACCGCGGCCCCTCAGCCCTTCCCGCAGCAGCAGCCCTGAGGCCAACGGCATTGCCGCCGAGCAGAACCGCCTCAACCTCGCCCATGAGAAGGGGACTGGTGCCTGCGACAGGACCACGGGTGAGCCAGGGACAGGGACCCATGCGGCCAACTGGGGTGAGGGCCATAGGGGCTGCCCCCAGGGTCCCTGGGGAGGGGATGCCATTTCCCCCAGGGCGGGTGCTAACTTGCCTCTTGTTCCCCACAGGGCTGTGAATGCCACCAGGGATGGCGGCAGTATCTGCTGGAGTGGCTGCTGCTGCCAGCACAGGACAGAGAGCCTGCCAGGAGCGCGGGGTGGAGGATGCTGTGTGCCTGCCCGCCGGGGCTGGCCGGGCAGCCCTGTGCCCGTGGGCAGTGGAAGGGATGGGGGCCTTGGGGGACATTCCTACTCAATTTTCAAAAAGGGAATATCTTATTTTTGTACATTTTTATAAGCTTGTCAGCGTGTGCGCCCTGGCGTTTTTATACTCTGCCCATGATCTCTCTCTGGGCCTGTGCCCCCCTCCCTGTCTCCTGTTTCACCCCCTTTTCCTCCTCCCACCCCCATTTCCTGCAGCATGTTCCCCTCACACCCTGTGCCCTCCCTTGCCTGCTGAAAGCCGGGGCTGTGCCTGTCAGGCCATGCTGGCAGCATGGGGGCCTAGGGGACCGAGCCTGTGGGTCTGGCTGGCTGGGCCGAGCCATGGGACAGGACACTGGGCTGGCATTCTGCTTGAAGCATAGGAGACAGAAGGGTCCTGGTGGCACCGCTGCTGGAAAGTGCTGGTGCGGCCGGGGGGTCGTGCTGCGCAGCATCCTGCACAGGGCTACGAGCTGCAGGGCTGGCCAGTTCAGAAATGTATGTGCAGAGAGCAGGGGCTGTCCTTCCTGCTGCCTCCGCCTCTCTCCCCACTCGGCCAGCTGCTCTTGGACCAAAGCCTGTGCCCTCCTGCTCTGGTCGTTGGGCCAGGACCCCCTGTGTGGGACTGGACCCTGGTCCCATCGTGGGTAGATGTCATGTCCGGAGCCGGGCTCGGCTGGGGGCCAGTGGGGCATTTCTCATCATCTCAGCCTGGGTCACACGAGGATTTTTGTAGCGTTGTTTTTTACTAAGCAATGATTGTCACTCTGTTTTTTCTTCTTTTCTTTTTATATCTATATTAGTAAAGGCTGGAGACGTTTTGTACTGTACTGCTGCATCCGGTCCTTCGGGAGGAAGGGGTGGGAAGGGAATCCTGCACAGCTGGGCTGGGACCTCCCCGCTCACCCGCAGTGACTCAGTCGTTCCTGCCGTGCATACAGAGGCAGTCACAGCCACCATCGGCCTGGTGGAGTGTCATTGCTCCAGCTGGGCTCCTGCGTCATCCTGTCCCCAGCAAGAGGCCTGGTGATGGGATTCCCCATTCCTTCCCATCCTGCTGCAGCCAGGAGCAGAAGGGATGTTGCCCTGCCCTGGGGCTCGAACAAACCCAGCCATGCCATCCCATGCCAGTTTTGGCCAGCACATCCCAGTTCCCTCTTGGGGCCTCCTGGAAGGAGCTGGACACCTCTTGCAGCGCTTGTCCGTCCCCTCCCTCCTCCAGCTAAAAGCCCTCGGATAGCTCACATCCCGCTGTACATGCATTGCCTCTGTGTTTGTTTGTGATGGAAGCTGGCATTTCCAGGCTGTTTTGATAAAGGGAACAGGTTTATTTAATTGATTCTGTTAAGCTTTCCAACAGGCGCTGCTGCCAGGAAGAGGGCTTGCTTGTAGTGCTGCATGTGCCACCAGCCCTGCTACGAGTTCAAGGCTGTGGCATGGGCTCACCCAGACACATCCCAAACCGTGCTGCAGCAGCCTGGCCCTGCCTGGGAGCACGGGTAGGCACTCTGCAGGAGGAGTGGGACCACAGCCTGGGGTGGGGGGGGCAGTTGGATGAGGAGAAAAGGTGGGGAGAAATAGAGTTTGAGCTGGTTGCAGACAGCATGGTGGCTTCTGACAGAGGCTGTGCCTGTCCCTGCCCCACCATGCCTTAGCTTGCCCCAGTTTGGGACCAGCCCTGGGGCAGGTCTGGCAGCCCAACAATACCCAGGGCAGCCCAAAACTGCTGGGGCTTGTGCAGGGGAGGGTGGCACAGCCCAAACCCCCTGGTCCCTGTGGCATGAGGCAGGGTTCCCCTGAGCACTTGACTCCTCCCAGGCAGTATCTCAGTCTGGGGCTGGGCTGCGGGATGCCCTAGACGCAGGTGCAGTCCTGGGCCAGGATGTTGGGCACCGTCTCGTACTTGAAGGAGTACCCGCCGTCAGAGGTGGTGCGGACACGCAGGGAGCGCATGGTGCCGGGCAGGGCAGCGCAGCAGAGCTGCACACCCAGGCGGTGGCTCAGCCCATGGCCTGCAGCACAGCTCCCATGGCAGTAGTGGAAAACAAAGCTGCTGGGGTGCACAATCCAATTGTCCCAGCCCAGCTCCTCGAAGGAGATGTTGAGGGAAGCCCGGCGGCAGTTGGTATGGGCGGCCAGGTCCTCGGATGGGCGCTGCAGCAGGCTCAGGGCAGCTGGGGACCAGGGCACGGCGGAGCGACGAGCCCTCTCGCTGCCCTTGGCACGGGTGGTGGCCACCAAGAAGGGCATCTTGTCCTCCTCGGCCAGGCAGGGGCAGCCGGGGCAGCGCACCAGGATCACAAAGAGTGGCTGCGAGAGCTGGGTCAGCAGTGCTGGGGCAAAGTGGAACACAGTCCAGTGCTCAGGTGTCTGCACCACCATGGCCGCCAGTGGCACACGGCCGTGTGGTGACAGGGTCAGAACATTGGGGGCTGAGTGGTTCGGAGCCGCCGAGGGGCCAGTGTAAAACCAGAGCTGGGCAGAGGTCATTGCACGGCTCAGGGTGTGTGCTGAGGGCTGGAAGAGGTAGGTGAAAATGCCTTCTTCCTCCAGCAGCTTGTCTGGCTGTGAGGGCTCGCAGGGCACATCTAGGTGGGGGAAGAAGGGAGGGGAGAGAAGAAAGATGTTCAGGGTGTGCACCCAAACCTGGGGAGGGTCCTTGATGTTGGATGGGAGGTGGGATGTTGCAGAGGGTCGCTGGGGTGCTGGCAAGGCATCCAGCTGCTGGCATGGGCTGTGGCAAGCTGCAGGGGAGCTGATGCCTAGGGTTATGCAGCAGCCACTGCACTGCGCCCTGCAGCTGAGCCCTGCTGTGACCTAGGCTTGTCTATTGCTGCTGCCCCCATCCACCAGCATCCTGCCCTGTCCCACAGCATTCTGCCCTGTCCCTTAGTATTCAATCCCATTTCCCTGCATCCTGACCCATTTCCTAGCATCCCACCCTGCCTACTCCTCACCCCTCCCCATATCTCCGCATGCTGCCTGGACCAGCCATCCCCCAGCTTTTCAGCACCCTCTCGTGCCGCCTGCCCCTTTCCCTGCCAGTGTCCTGGGCTGCTCTGCCTGTCCCACCTGCCATACCATGCTACCTCCTAGCTCTTTACCAAACCTCACCCATGCCCGTGCCCCAGCCTGGCTTGCCCTCTTTCTCTTCTCCCACAGACCACCACAGCACCCCTTCCATCCTGCTGCATCTGTGTTGCCTCAAGCCACCACTCTGCTTCACCCCTCTGCCCTCTCCATCCCACCCAGATGTTCTCACCTGTGGAAGGGAAAAGGATAACCTGGGAGGTGTCCTCCAGCTCCTCCGGCTCAACTTCAGTGTTTTCAAGGATATCTCTCCGGTGCACTCTCCTTGCTTCCTTCTGGGGCTCCTCCTGGAGAACCGGGGGGCTCAGATGCTCCAGCACCTGAGCCCGCACCTTGGCCAGGATGAGCTGCCGATCAACACCAGCCCCAGTGCAGCTGGCCAGGGCGGCAGTGGGCAGCATGGCAGGCAGCAGGTGCAGGAGGAGCAGCATGACCGTGGGGTGCACAGCAGGCCGGTGGCTCGGGGGGCTCTGCCGCGGGCTCCTGCCTGCCTGCCCAGCCCGTCTGCCCACTGTGCTCCCCCTGGGGCAGGGTGGCATTGAGACCTATCTGACACTGACGCAAACGTCTGCTCGCAGTATTATCTCTGGGCAGCGAAAGTGCTGAGACGTCTGGAATGCGAGGACTGCAAGGACAGTGTGGTCTGGGGGAGGACGGCGCCTGGGATGGGGGTGGATGCTGCTGGGGGGTGGCGGGTGTGTGGGGCGGGAGAGTCCAGGTTGTGGGCTGGGTGCTGCAGGGAAGGCTTTCCTGCACTGGTACGGGTGGAGGGGGCATCCTGGGCAAGCATTGCTGGTGCTGGATGCTGCCCATGGTGGAGGAGCTGCAGATTTGGAGCTTCTTAGGCAAGAGTGGGAGGTAGCAGTGGTTGTACCCAGCAAGGATATCTGGGCAAGGGCTTGGTGGGGTACAGAGCCCTGCGAGGCCCTGGCCAGAGAGGGCATATTAGGGGCGGCGGGCTGGGCAACCCCTGCCAGGGATGGCTGGGACACCCCAGGCTCACAGGGCAATGGGGATGTGAGGATAGGGCCCTAAGGACAGTGTGGGGGAAGGGCTGTGGCATCTACAGGGCAGCCTGAAGGCAGGCAAGTTCCTGGGGACATGAAGCAGGAGGGCTGGCAAGAGGTCCCAACACTGCCTGGGGAAGGATGCAACAGCTTCATGGGGAAGAGGAGATGAGGCAGAGCCAGGCCTGCTGGAGACCCCACAGCAGTGCCAAGAGAAGGACTCTGGAGTGCTGTTTGGGCTGGCCAGCCACGGGCTGGCTCCTGGGGTGGGAGCTGCAGGAGGGACACAGGCTGTAAGAGGACACAGCAAGTCCTGCCCTTCCTCCCGCTGCTGCCTGTGGTGCATCCCACATCCAGCATCCCTTCCTGCCCTGTGAGGTGGTGGGCATCCTCTGCACCCCCTCCACTCCTCCTGCAGCCTCGCATCCTGCATAGCACGGCTTGTAAGGCACATTCCTCTCCTGCAGCCTGGTATCTCATGCAGCATCCAGTGTGGTATGCCCCACCCACCCCACTCAGCACGTCCTGTATGGCATCTTCCATCCCACTGCAGCCTGGTGTCCCATGCCATGTGCCCCACACCATGCCACGCACTACACAGCACATTGCCTCCTGCCTCAGACTGACCCAGCACCGAGGCACCACTGTGTTTATGGCGCCCCTGATCTCTGGAGGCCGGGTGCTCCTGCTGGGCTGCTATACATAGGTAGGCCAGCCCTGCCCCAGCGAGGCTCTGAATGGACCAGGCTCAGTCTTATCAACCCAGCATGTCATCAGAGAGTATTTTTGGGGACAGCAGCTGCAGGCATTTGTAACGTTTGGTCCCTGTGTGCTGACACCCAGGAGCAGAGCTGGGGGAAGCAGCACGAGCTCAGTGCTGGCACTGGGAGACACTGGCAGAGACAGCAAAGCGAGGTGCGTGTGTGGGGCAGGGGACTGGGCTGTGGGGCTGTGTGGGGAAGGGTGATCAGGGAAGGGACCAAGTGAGGTGGCCAAGCCATCAGGGCTGTGAGTGTCTGCACGAGCTGCTATGGGGTCAGGGACCGTGTGCCAGGGGATGGCCCTGGTCCTTACCACTCCTTGGGAGTCAGCCCTGTGCTACCGTCCCCTCTGGCTCATTCAGGGATCATTTTAGTTTCTATTCCCCCTGCCTGAGAGAGGCAGAGACGCCCCTGCCCCAGCCTGGGCCGTGCTGCGGGCAGAGGTCGGGGTGCACTCGCCCAAGGGAGGCACGGAACACCCTGCCTGCCTCTGCCCGTGACGCTGAGCAGCTACCCGCAGTGCTGGGGTGGTGCTCCCCAGCCTTCCCTCTCACCCTGGGGCTGATGATCTCCAGCCGTGCCTTTTCCATACCCAAGGGCAGGATCCTACAGGATCTGGAGGGGGATCTGCTCCAGGAGGAGCCTCACTTTCCCCCCCGCAGGGCTCTGCGGGGTGACCTCTCCGAGCCCAGGTCCGGCCGGGTGCCGCCCGCCCACCCGCGGCCGCCCCGTATCAGCACCTGGCTGCGGAGCCAGCCCAGATGCTGCAGGAATGCGGCTCTGCCACCACCCGATACTGCAGGAATGCCCCGCGGGTGGGGAAGGGGCGGGCTGGAGCCGTCCTGCCGCCGCCGTTACCCCTCCCCAGCACCCGCAAGCAGCTGCTTGAGTCCGGAGCTGGGGTCCCTTCTGCCACCCTGGGGCAGGCTGTGGGTGCCCTGGCCCCTCAGGGTGCTAAGATCTGCCTCTTCCATTGGACTGGGATGGGGGATGGGCGATTTGGGCTGAGACAGGAGGATATCCGGGGGTCTGGGGTGCTCGGAGAGAGTGTCATGCTCATGCGACCAGGCACAGGTCCTTCCTGCTGGTGCTCTACAGTGCTCCAGTACTGAAGCCCGAACCCCTCACCATGGTCGGTCTGTGCATCCCCCCCAGGCTAATGATCCACACTGCTGCTCCAGCCAGCTGCCTGCAGTGACGCTGAGGAGGTGGTGATGGAGGGGTTTGAGGGAGCCCCCAGGTTCCTGGCCTACCCACGTGCCTTCATGGTGCAAAGTGGCACCGATGCAGTCCTGAGCTGCCAGATCACAGGTGACCCCCGGCCAAGCATCCTCTGGGAGAAGGACAAGATCCCAATTGAGCCCTCAGGCCGCTTTCATGTGGAGGCCAAGGGGGACCTGTACAGTCTGCTGGTGTCCCGTGCCACTCCCCAGGACAGTGGGCTTTATGTGTGCAAGGCCAAGAACAGCATTGGCGAGACCTATGCTGCTGCCACACTCAAGGTGGAGGTGGGAGAGCCCCGAGAGGAGGAGGAATGCTTGGACAGTGAAGCACCTGCCTTCCTCGTTGCCCCCTCGTCCATACGTGCGTGCCGGGGAGAGGACGTGATGTTCACCTGCAGGGTGTCTGGGCAGCCATGCCCAGTGGTGCAGTGGGAGAAAGACGGTCACAAGCTGTCTGACCTCTTTGAGAGCAGCCACTTCGCAGTGGGGCAGGAGCCGGAGGACTGGCACTTCTTGAAGCTGTTTGGTGCACGGCCCCCAGATGGGGGGGTGTACTTGTGCAGGGCACGCAGCGGCTCCCGGGAGGCCCTGGCAGCTGCTGTGCTCCTGGTGGAAGCCCAGGCACTGCCAGACAGGCTCCCCAGTGGCTCTTCTGGTAATGGCCCTGAGACGCTGGGAGAGCAGCAGCAGCGGCGGCATGCAGCAGGACAGTGCATGAGACCAGAGACATGGGTGCCCAATGGCATGGTCCCAGCCAGGGTGCCAGGGGCTAAAGCATTCACTGTGAGTGCAGGGAAGCATGCCAAGTTTCGCTGCTACGTTACTGGCAAGCCCAAGCCAGAGATCATCTGGCAGAAGGACGGTGAGTCCCTCACCCCTGGCCGAAGGCATCTCATCTATGAGGACCGGGAGGGCTACTTCATCCTCAAGGTGCTGTACTGCAAGCCCCAGGACCAGGGGCTGTATGTTTGCACCGCATCCAACACTGCCGGCCAGACCCTCAGTGCAGTGCAGCTCCAGGTGAAAGGTAGGTGATCACCCAAGAGCTGCTGGATGCTGGGGTGGTCCAGGGCTTTTCACCTGGCAGGGATGCACCTGAGTGTGAGCCCAGCAACCCTGGGCTCTCCCCTGCCCCATGCAGCTGGGGTCACCCCAGACTCCTCCCCAGGGAACTGCGGGCTGGAAGCAGTGGATGCTAGGCTCCCATGTGGTGTGTTCCCCTTGTGCCTCTCTCCTTGCAAACAGAGGTGGCATTTCTGGAGAGCTGCGGCTGTCCAGCCACGAGCGGGGTGGTGGGGATAGTGCCTTGGTGACAAATTCCCCTGGAAGTGCTGAGTGGTTTTGGCGGGCAGCCCTGCAGGGCACAACTCCAAGTGTCTGAGCTGGCAGCAGCCCCAGCCCCTGGAGCTGCCCTAGCAGCTGCGGACAGCCCACAGCTGTGGTGACCCGGCTCCTGGTGCACCCCCTGCCATCTCTACTGCTGCCCTCCGCTGAGATGCCTGCTACAGTATGCTGGCATACATGCTCCTGCGTCCCCAGAAAGTCCCTGCTGAGATGCTGGTGGCACCACTGGGTCTCCCCAGCCCATTCCCTCATTCCTCTCTCTCTGGGGGATGTGCTTCTTGGTCCAGTGTCCATCCCATACAGGCCAAAGAGGAGGAGAGCAGAGAAGGGCCGAGGGCTTGGTGCTCTGTGTGAGCTGGAAAACACTGAGCACAGGGCTGCTGGTGGGTGCTCTACCCTGCGCACCCTCAGCACCCATCTCTCCTGGCGGCAGAGCACCGGCTGCAGTTCCAGGTGCAGCTGGCGGATGTGGAGGTGGTGGAGCGGGAGGATGCTGTGCTGGAGTGCCAGGTGCCACTGGAGACCATCCCCACCACCTGGTACCTGGAGGACAGGGAGCTGCAGCCCAGCCACAAGTATGTGATGGAGGAGCAAGGTGTGGTGCGGCGTCTGACCATCCGTGATGCCCGCACTGATGATGATGGCATCTACCTCTGCCAGATGAAGGACAAGGGGCACAGCATTGCTGAGGTCTCTGTCCAAGGTGGGGATCAGCTTGCCTTGTGGCATGGCTTTGTTTTCCTGTCTCTCTCCTTGCCAGGGTCCCCACTGCCCCCCACTTTCCCCTTCCTTCCATTTGGCCATGGTGCCTGCTGCTGCTGCCGCTCCTCAACCTCATTTTCTCTCCCACCCTGGGGAGCCCTTCCTCCCCAGGGATGCTCCTCAGCATCCCTCCCCAAGCCTTTATGCATCTCTTCCCATAGGGGTGATCGTGAAGCGGCTGCCACGGAAGCTGGACGTGATGGAGGGGGAGAATGCAGTTTTCTGTGTGGAGACACGGGAGGTGGTGGAGAGGACCTGCTGGCGGCGGGATGGGCTGCAGCTGCGGGAGTCCCCCTGCACCGTGCTGAAGAGCTTTGGCAGGACGCACCTCCTGGTACTGGTGCACGTCACCCGCCAGGACGCGGGCATCATCTCCTTCTCTGTCGGAGAGTCACAGACATCCTCCCAGCTCCGGGTCAAGTGTAAGCCCCAGGCTTGGTGGGTTCCTACGTCCACCATTCTGCCCATTCATGGAAAGGGTTGATGTGGAGGAGAGGCGGGTATGGGCACCCAGTGTGGTG